TTTGCCCCCCCTCCCCCGGGTGGGGGGGGGGGGGGGGGGTGCACTAGCTGCGTCCCCCCCCAGCAGACCAGGGAGACACTGAGCAAAGCCGCGGAGGACCCGGGCTGGACCCGCGGCGCTTCCAGATCAGCTGGAAGCGCCACGGGTCCGGCCCCGGGTCCTCCGCGGCTTTGCTCAGCGTCTCCCTGGTCTGCTGGCTCCCCCCGCAAACCAGGGAGACGGGGAGCAGATTTTCTTGCCCCGGAAGAGGCGGGGGGTGGGACCAGGCGTCCCGCCGCTCCAGTTCTCTAGGGCAAGAAAATCCCCGTTCGTAACTGCGGATCCGACATAAGTCGGATCTCCGTAACTCGGGGACTGCCTGTACATAAAAGCAGGACAATGTAGCATGGGTCTGGCCCACGAAAGCTCATCATCTAATAAACCATCTTGTTAGTCTTTAAAGTGCTACATTGTCCTGCATTTTGCTTCAACTACCCCAGACTAACACGGCTACATTTCTATCACTATTCTACATGCAAGGCACTACATTTAGCCGTTTGGAATGGAAATCCATCAACCATATGAAGAAACTCGCACATGTACATAAAAGGTTATTTCAAGTAAGAGGGTGGAACAATGTTCTAGTTATTCTGTGATGATAGGAGAAAAAGTAATAGACTTAAATTTTAGCAAGGAGATTTGGGTTGCACCTTAGGAAAAATTTCCTTATTTTCAGAGTAGTTAAGTACTGGCACAAACTGCCAACGGGGGTTGTGGAATCTCTATCACTAGAAATTTTTAGCCAAATATCAATCAGGAACTGACTAGTTATTATTTAGTCTTGACTTGAAAGCAGGGTACTGGACTAGATAACCTCTCAAGCTCTCTTCATGTCCCATGCCTATGATTCCATAATATCTACAAAAAAAATTTATTTACACACATACATTCCCCCATATCCCCATTCCATCTTCTAACTATGTATCTGAGCTTTGAACATAGCTGTTCTGTGTTGGAATATTTGTTGTTGGTGTTGTGACAGAAGAGGGTCTAAGAGAGGGATGTGTAAGAAGAGATGGGAAGTTGTTTTATGGATTCACACAAGAAGGGCATTCCCAGTTTAAAGAACGAAGTAGAAGAGAGTGCATAGATGTCTGTCTGAAAGGCTCGAGTATAAGACATCAAAGCTGGCATTGCTGGAATAGCAGATGAGGCAGGGAGTAATGCAGCCAGAGACCAGAGCATATAGGCAGGAAGAGGGAAATCCATAACTAGTCTTGAAAGGGAGAATAAGAAAATTGAACTTGATTCAGTGTCTGTGTATTGGTGCTGAAACTAAGAGTATACTTACCTCTGTGTAGCTGGTCAAGATGAACCATAAGCTTAAGCAAAACTTCTAAAAGGCAGCTGATGATGAAGGAAGAGATAATGTAATATTTAGCCAAGAAAACTATTTTTCAGAGATGAATGTAAAGAAAAATTGTACTTGTTTAAAAAATGTCTTAAGAGATCTTAACAAACATTAATGAATTGATGAAAGGTTGAAAGCATAGAATTTTATGTAAAAGGATTGGGGGTTTTTAAAGTGTGAACTCTTATTTCACTGAAGCAATTGCTAGAACATATTTTCAGCCATAGCAAATTATATTCATTAAAGACATAACGTTTTTTAATGTAATATCTAAAATCAGTGTTTTCTCTACGGCTAGGTCTACACAGCATTTTGCATAACTTTTTCCAATTCTTTTGTTGGAAGAGGCTTTTCCAACATTTGGCCCATCTAGACTGGGCCAAATGTCAGGAAAAAACCCTCTTTCAGAAGCTCCCTTATTCCTTGTAGAATGAGGAATACAGGGGCTTCCGAAAGAGTGCGTTTGCTCTTCCACACAAAAAAAAAGCAGAAGAGCAAACACAGTTAATGGACGTGGAACAATTTTTCCAGAATACCCCTGGTATCCCAGAAAAACTGTGTAGTCTAGACATAAGAGTCCTGGGTATAACAAATGCAAAATAATCTTTCACAAAAAATGAAAAACTTATTCTTGGTTTAACTGTTTTTGTGAAGTCATGCCAGGAATGTATCAGCTCAGCAAACCTTCTATGAAGCCTATCATGGTTTGTTAATACATCAAAATAAAAATGTATGTGCATAATCTGAACTTGTATATAGTCCAGGGATCAGCAACCTACAGCATGCAAGCCAAATTTCACTGGCATGCAAGCCTCCCCATCGGATCCGTACGCCAACCATATGGGACTGTTCCCATTTCAAATACTCTGTCCTCGTGTCCCCATCAAGTAGTGAAATGTCCCAAAAAGCACTGCTGAACATTTCATTAGTTGATGGGGATGCTGGTTTGCAGGGAAGAAGCGACCAAGAAATAGCTCTGTGAGAAATAGCTCACGCGGTGTAGCAGCCAACTTCCTCCCACCCCCCTTCATTGGCGCTTTGCTGGTAGGTAGCCAGGCTGGCTTCTGGTGATGCGCATTTTCCAGCCATTCCATCACCCACTGCCCCATCACCGCACACCCATCCCCCGTGGAACTGCCTCAGGCCCCCAGCCCAGCTGCACCGCTTCCTCCTCCTCCAGGCCGCTTGTTGGTACAATGGCTACCACTGCCAGGGGTACCAAGAGGGTCCAAAGTAAAACCTGGTGGAGCTGCTCCTGGACCTCTGCACCTTGGAGCTGCTGCCTCAACCCCGTCAGGGGCCATGTGGAGCCCAGCTAGGGTACTGCGGCAAGGGCATGCTCAGGCTCGGCTGGTGCATTCTATGCACTGCCGCTCTGTCTCCCCCACTCTTCCCAACCCTGCTGGGGGAGTTGCACAAAGCTGGGTCTAGTGGGCAAGGTCAGGGCTTCTTCAGCCCACTATGTTGAGATACCCACTGCGTGGAGGAAGTTGGGGGCTGAACTCCCTCCCCCCTTCCCACCTCACTCTGGGAATGGCAGTGCACTGTCCGGAGCCTTTCCCTGCTGTAACAGGGTGTGAAGAAAGGTAAGCATCCCCCCTCATGCCCAGACCCTCTCACTCACTCCCCTCCCCTGCCAAGACTCTCCCTCTGCCAAAACTCTGAACCCCTCTCCCCCCACTAAGACTCTGAACCCGCAGCTTGCTCCAACACCCTCCCTTGCTCTTGTATCCTCCCTCCTGGACAGACTCTCTGCTCCAAGCCTCCTTCTGCACCCTCCCTTGTTCCTGTATGCCCCCCTGGCCAGACACCTTCCCCCACCCTGCTCTTGCATCCACTGTTGCTTCTGCACCCTCCATTCTGGCCACACACTGTTCCCCCCCTGCTCCTGCTCCCTAACCCCTTACTAGAAACCCCACTCCCAGCCTGCTTCTGCACCCTACCTCCCACCTAGACCTCACAACCTCTTTCCTTTCTGCACCCCACCTCCCTCCCAGATCCTGTACCCCATCCCTATCCCACACACTTGCAGCTCTGTGCCACACACTGAACCCCTCATTTTTTGTCTCTACCCCAGAGACAAAGGAGGTTCATAAAATCCATTAACTTTGGAACCCCAGAAAAGTAAATCTGGCCTATGGGAAACCCTGAATCTCAGTCCTCCCTGTCCTTTCCTCTTGCCTCATGGGTCTGGAGCACCAGAGGAGTGAGGTGTCTCAGTTGGGGCCACATCAGAGAGGGCTGGGGGGTTTTGAGGAGCTTTTTGCTTCTCACTTGTGTGGTCCCCAACTGATTTTTCTGTGGGTCAGTGACCCCAACCCAAGAAAAGTTGCTCACCCCTGCCATAAATAAAGAAAACATTGCAACCTTTTGTGTTGGACATAAATTAATATTTTACTTTATTTAAAATGAAGTTTGATGAACTAACATGAGAAAGTTAAAACGCTTAATCTGTTTAATAATTTAAATTAAACTGTTCTCCCTAACTGCAGCTGGTTCCAAAAATATGGTCACCATACCCAGCCTGCCCTTGCTCCTCTCCCCATCGTACCTCCTCTCCACAACACAGATCCATAAATAGAAGTGAATAAGTTAAATCTTGGCATGACACTTCTGAAAGGTTGCCAACCCCTGATATTGCCCAATATATTATGTCTGAACTGATTAGTTTGTCTAATTTATTCCCCAATATTGGTCCCATTGAAGCAATGGCAAAACTTCTGCTGATTTCAATGGAGCAGAACTGGGGCCTATGATTGTCAGCACACAATGACTAGAATCTCCTTTCTTCCCCCTTTGAGCACACTAACAGTATTAACAAATTATAAATAAGAAGAGTTCAAACTTAGATATAGTATTTTAGTCATTAATTATTGGACTAAGACTTTATAAGAATATGTTAAATGTTTTCTGTTGCAGATTTATGTTGATGATGCTCCTTTGGCCTTTCCAGGACAATATCTTGTTAGCACAGTAACAGCTGTGATTGTAGGAGGCATCATCTTTGTAGCATTTATTATGCAAATGTATGAAATAAACATATGGAAAAAAGTGAAAAGTAAAGTGAGAAAACAAAACAAAGTATCAGTATCTGAAACCTCAGCAGCTGCTACTTCTATTTCTTCCAGCAAAAGCACCTCTAGATGAAATACAAGGTTACAGCCAATAGCATGTTACGCCATCCACTTTTATTAAATCTATGTCTTACTTACATTTCCCAAGTAGTACCTTAAAAGTAATTTCCTATTTAGTATGGTTATGTTATCAGTCTTCCTTTACTGATATTTTTACATATTCAACTTTTCCATCAGAATTTGATTTCTTTGTAAATGTATGTATTAAAATCTGTAGCAAAATATATTCATTTACAAATTATTTTATTGGGATACTGTTTTCAAATATTATAAAGAACGTAGTTTGTTTGTACTCAGTAACACAAGTAAGAGTGTTACATCTAGCCATACTGATCTTCTCTTTATTGATTATCTTATGATTGTCTCTAACATCTTGCAGCAACAAAAAGCATTGTAACACTTACCTACATGCAGTCTTTATTTGTAACACAGTTCCTGAAAATTAATTTAGACAAATATTTGAGAGAATGTTTAAATGTTAAGTGAAATTTGTATAGAATAGTATTTTGTGTGATTAAATACTGCAGTGTGGTTCTAGTCAAAGCATAAATCACTTAAGCTTGTTGATTCTGGCTATTAAAAGGCAGACACATGACCAGACTTGGCTAGTCGGTTTTCTTCCAACCACTGGGTGGATGCACTTTCTGTGTGAATGCCTTGCATGCTGCAGCAGTGGCAGTTTACAGCACAATCCTGCCTGCTTGAGGTTTTTGTTGGTCCTTATTATCATGAGCACTAAACACATTCTCATCTCTTAAATCAGAAAAAATAAAACCCATGCATGCGTAGTAGGTGAATGAAGGTTCTTTCAAGATGCTTAACTAAAGTTAATTTTTCTTGAAAAGTCTCTCAGGCTTCTGACATTTCTACCTACTCAATAAAATCCATGTTGTGGTCTACCTATTTTTCTGCAGGGTCTTGAGCACTTCCACTTTAAATCTGGAACCTTGAAGGTTGAATATACTCTGCAATACAAAATTCAGTGGGTTTGAGTTTTAAAGGGGATTCATGGTAGGAGGAAAAAAAGCTGGATCTAACAACATAATTTAAAAATAGGAAGAAAGCAAGCTTTGGTTAGAAATGATTGGTGGGGTTGGTTGGTTTGTTTTTTTGACAAAATATTTTTTCCTGGGAAAATCCAATTTGTCAAAACCAAAACTGTGGAAACATAATGGTTTCAACATAACATTAGTCAAGGATAGAATTCCAATAGAGAGAGGTAGTTTCACATCCTGCCTCCATAATATCCGGTTGTTCAGTGATTAAGATAGTCGGGTTGTAGAAGATCTAAGTTCATATCCTTCCTCTGCCTGCTTCAAATTAGGGACTTGGATTAGGATCTCCCACACCCAAGTTGAGTACCTTGATCGCTGGATCATAGAGAAAATGTTCTCCCTTGTATGATTGCTTTCTCTTCTTCTCCCTGCTAACTTCTCCTTAATTAATTAATTAATTAATTAATTTAATACAAAATGGAACATTTCCAGTTGGAGAGAAACTCAGACTATAGCTAAGTGATTAGGGCACTCTCTTGGGATGGTATTGGCTCACCTGGCATAAGCCAGCTGATCTGGGATAGTTATCTGCTATTCTAGGATGGGTCTGTCATGATTTTTTTGGTGGAAAAAATTTGAAAGGTCTCACTTTTATTCTGATATGAAACAAAAACAAATGTTGAAATCTTGAAATTTTTTACAAAATTGAATTCTTGTTTTTCAGCCAGCCCTACTTGGGATTTATGCCACAAAGAAGTGGGAGGTAAGACGAGGGAACTAGAAGGAACTGGTGTGAGAATACATGAAAGAGTTTAGAAGGGGGAGAAGCTAGTATATCTGATGGTGATGAGGGAGGTTAGGGCATGTTTTGTTACAGCAGAGCTGATTGTAATGCCTAATGTTATGGAAGTTCCATATATATATATCATACATTATTTTACATGGTAAGCTTTGTATGATTATCCAGTTTTGGGGGGGAAGTAAACTGTAAGTCTGAAAAATTCCTATATGCTTTCCTCAAAGATTTTCCATCACAGTACTGCACCTGGGAAATGTCAGGTGGCCTAGATTTGTCTTCATTGCATACCGAGCACAGGGACAATGGATAAAAATGTGAACATTATAGCCATATATAACACAACATCTCTTTCATGTTTGTTAGCTAGAAACACTACATGTTCTGTCTTTAGGATTATTTCAGTAATTTGTTGAAGACTGTTCTTAGATTTCTTGGGGTGGGAGAGAGCTCTCCCAGCACTGAGAACTAAAGCTGACACTTTACAGCTTTAATTTTCACCTCTTGGGGGGAGTATTTTTTCACACCCCTGAGTGAGGAACGTTTCAGGGCTGCAAGTGGCAGTGTAGACAAGTCCTAAGTTAATATATTAACAAAACCACAAAGATATGTAATTTTTTCTGTGTTTTTAATTCTGGTGCTGGTGAAAGTATCTAGTGCTTTCTGATCTCATGTCACTTTTCCCGTTCCTGTAGTAATCTTTTTAAAATTTGGATATTTATGACCTAGGGAGTGGGCATGGGAGAGGTAGGGAATTCTTTGCAGTGTTATGGCTGCAGTGATTTATGGAAATCAGTCATCTGCTTTTGTGAATTTTTGTACCCTAGGCCAAATCTGGAGAAAACACCCCCTTAATCATAGTCAAGGGACCAGAAACATTAAAAATGGCACATGGAACATAAAAGTGAAAAGAAAAAAACTTAAGGGAACTGTAAATGAAAAAAAATAATGGGTAAGGCTCCCTGACCACTATGTACACATATTGTTGGTGAACTTATCTCCTTACCCTTTACCTCCTCATCTTCCCTGGGAGAGGCAGTTGGAAATTGTCTGGTGGGGGCAAACAGGGGTCCGGAGCAGCCCCTGTGTGGGGGGAACCTGGGGGCCCCACAGGCAGGGACTGTGCCAGTGTCCAGAACAGCCTCTTTCCATGGGGATTCCAGCCTGCTGTGGACAGGGGATGCTCCGGAGGGGTCCAGGAGCTGGCGGCAGCCCCAGTGTGACCTAACATTAGCCAGTTAACTGATTAATGGGAATTTACATCCCTAATGAGATGTACTGCAACTGCATTTTTGAAGTTACTGCAAAACTATCAAGTGTCCTCCGTTTCCACAAACCAGAATGACAATACTAAACTAACCATAACAATTACAGGACGGAGAAAACCATGTCACTAACCCTCACCACCACTGCTTGAAAGAAACATTGCCCAGGGAGGTCAATAGGGCTGGGCTATTTTATATGTAAAGCTACTGAGACATGTATATGTCAATATCATGATGGAAATGCCTATATTATGTAAGTAGTACCTAATAATAATTGCCAAATGACGCCACTTCCCAACCTTCATACAAAGGGCCTGATCCAACTTAAACTTTAAGCTAGGTTTGGGCCCAAAGCAATCTGTTGATATTACCCAAGAAGATCCAGTTAACATTGTCACCCTTCAAAAATATAAGGGACCAATCAGTAAAAGCCTCAGTGCAGGTAGAGGCAATCTTTGAAGAAAATTGACTTCTTCTGACATAAGAACTTTCTCTCATTGGCGTGGGGTCTTTAGCACAGGTTTCACTTTGTGTGTCAGAATAACTCAGACATGCATTCTCACAGCTAACTCCAATCAGGTCTAGGTAATGTGCACCTCAAAGACAGAAAAACAAATCCCTTGAAGCTGGAAAGTCAAAACACCTCACCTCTTCACAGAGCTCACAAAGGGCTTGTTTACCCAGACACACAAGTCACGACAACCTTCTCTGGAGCAAGACGATACATCCTGCCTCTCTGTGGATGTGTCAAGTGTTTTCACGTGGCATCTTAACACACTTTTCTAATTTCAACTGCCTGGATAAGGAAGACTCACAAAGAGTCTGTCCATCATTTACACCAGAGTGACACAGTGATGTCACCCCCATGGTAACAGACCTGATCTCTCTCTGGGCTCTTGTGGAGCAGCAGGGAGCCAGGCCGGGGTGCCTCTATTTCAGTGGTTCTCAAACTTTTTGTCCCATGGACCACCAGTTGCTAATGGAAACTCACCATTAATTACACAATTACGCCCAAGCCATTTTGCTAGTGCTGCAGCTAGGAAGAATGGTTTAATTTAAATTATTAAACAGATTAAGCATTTTAACTTTCTCATGTTAGTTTAGCAAATTTCATTTTAAATAAAGTAAAATACTAATTTATGTCCAACATAAAACGTTTTGATGTTTTCTTTATTTATGGCAGGGGTGGGCAAACTTTTTTGGGTTGGGGGCCACTGACGCACAGAAAAATCAGTTGGGGACCACGCCAGTGAGAAACAAAAAAACTCCCCAAACCTCCAACCCTCACTGAGGTGGCCCCCAACAAAGACACCTCACTCCTCAGGCACTCTACAGGACAAAGGGAAGGGATGAGGAGCACTGAGGTTCAGGGCTTCCCATAGGCCAGATTTATTTTCTGGTGGATTTTATGGACCCCCCCCCACCTCCTTGGGTTCTGGTGTGGGAACAAAAATGTGTGTGTTCAATGTGTGTGGGACAGGGCTGCCAGTGAGTGTAGGATCTGGGAGGGAGGTGGAGTGCAGAATGGGGAGAGGTTGTAAAGTCTGGGTTGGAGGTAGGTTACAGAAGCTGGCTGGGAGTAGTGTGTGTGGCCAGGGGGAGGGAGCAGAAGCAAGGGAGGATTCAGTGTGTGGTCAGGAGGGAGAGTTCAGGAGTGGACTGGGAAGGTTACAGAAGCTGGCTGGGAGTAGTGTGTGTGGCCAGGGGGAGGGAGCAGAAGCAAGGGAGGATTCAGTGTGTGGTCAGGAGGGAGAGTTCAGGAGTGGACTGGGACAGGGTGTCTGGCCAGGAGGAAGGATGCAGGAGGGTACTTGCGGTAGGGCTTGGACCTCTCGGGTCTGGCACCCTCGGACCTGATTGGCCCGAGACAAGAGATTTTTCTGAACCAGGGGAGGTCATTTCAGGTCCTGTGCTGCTGCCCCCACACTAGGCTTCCTGGTTCTCCTCACCCCTATAGCCCACCTGAGCCACATGCTGGTTCCCTGTGTCCCCCCCTTGCATCCCAGTTGAGCCATGCATCTGTTCCCTGCGCCTCCCCTACAGCCAACCTGAGTCCTGCATGGGTTCCCTGTGTGCCCCCACCCACCCAGCTGAGTCCCTCACTGGTTCCCTGCATCCCTCCTCGCAGCCCAGCTGAGTTGCACGCTGGTTCCTGGTGCCTATCCTGTAGCCCAGCTGAGCCCTGCACCGGTTCCCTCTGTCCTCCTCTCCCCTGCTGCCCTGCTGAGCCCCAGGTCCATTCCCTCCACCCTTCCTTGCAGCCCAGCTGAGCCCCGCATGGGTTCCCTGCATGCCCCCTCCTCATAACCAAGCTGAGCCCCACGCTGGTTCCCTCTGCTCCACCTCACAAATTACTTGCTTTCATATGCTCCCAACAGGCACCGCCTCCCACTGCTCCTATTGGCTGGAAAGCCTTCAGGAAGTGTCCCTGACTCCTATTTCCCCAGCTGAGGGATGGGGAGGGGAAACAGCAGTGCACAGCTGCTTCTAGCTGCGTTTGGAGTCTCAGTGCTTTTCAGGACTTTTTAGTGCTTCAT